AGTCCATTACCGTATCAAAGAGACCCTATTCGAATATCATGGCATGAACAGACCAATCGAGGGAGTGTTTGCAGTGAAACCGACGACTGGAGTCATTGTTCTTCAACAAGCTGTCCAGTGAATATTTGTATTTCTCTATTTTCTCGGAGCCAACAATCCTACCAATTTCAGTGATTTCGTTGGTGGTGTCTTTCACCTTCTTCTTGAGTCCATGGACAGTTTGGCGGCAGATGCCCATAAGGATCAAAGCATTGTGAAGGTTGGCTCACTTACTTGAATCATCTTCATTTTCTTTTTCTCCTGAATACAATAGAATCATGAAGAGACTTACTTGCAGGTCTACATCCACGACGAAAGCGATATCGTCCGCTTGGAGCTGCCCGTACCACCGGCAGCAGTCAATTTTGAAAAAGTCGACGCCATCAAGAAGTAAGCGATTTGCGCAGTTTTGCAAGTTGCTGTCTTCCATAGTTGTATGAAACGATGTGATGCAGTGTGCACCCAAATAAAGGCTGCATCGGTCTCCGCCCACACGTCAAAGTTAAAAACCCCTCTCACTGGTCAGTATACTGATGACCTTCAACCGTAGCTATCCTTAAAGTTATTCAAAATAATCCTTCAGGACGATCGCCGATGCAACGGGCCTTAGTGTACTGGTGAAGGATCTGCAATATCATCACGAAGAGGGTGCACTCATCTATGACATCACAGACCTGCGATTGGTAGGTGAACTTCTGGAGAAATTACTTTAATCTTTATAAAGTGGTCAGAATATTCATTTGGTTAATTTTATTCGCTCCATATGGCGAAACGCTCTGGAACGCAACATTAAGATAGTGTAACTAAATAATGGCGGAAGTGGTGTAGTGGCAAGTGGCACGCTTACCACGCGAGCGGTCCGGGGATCAAATCCTGGGTCGTGAGTCGCCCGGGCCAACCAAGCCTTCCATCCCTCCGGGGTCGGTTAATTGGTACCAGACTTGTCTGGGAGGAAAAACACTGACTTGTACATCGGCTGGCCCCCGCAAGTCATTGTATAGGCCACATCGCATTCAAACGCCACTACGAATGTACAAATGGAAGTAGAATGCGTGCCGCATCCCAAAAAGGGATTGATCAACGGCCAAATGCTTTCCTTATGCTTTAGATGTATAAAATAATAAAATCAAGCGTCCTCCGTCAATGGAGGAACAGGTAGCAAATAGGTTTTTTTGGAAGTAGCATTAGGTGGTAGACGAAGTTCACGGTTGGGAGATTTATTATTTGTTTATTTATTTATTTATTTATTTATCTATTATTTATTTATTTATTATATTCCTTACTTATTTATTTGTTATTTATTTATTTATTTATTTATTTATTTATTTATTTATTTATTTATTTATTTATTTATTTATTTATTTATTTATTTATTTATTTATTTATTTATTTATTTATTTATTTATTTATTTATTTATTTATTTATTTATTTATTTATTTATTTATTTATTTATTTATTTATTTATTTATTTATTTATTTATTTATTTATTTATTTATTTATTTATTTTACACATAGGTGCGCCACTGACCGTACTCCGAATTGCGTAAGCCTAGAAACAACCAAATAACAAAGAACAAAATAAACATTCAATCTTAGGATAAACAAAGGTCTAACGACAGCAAGACTCTTCAGTGCAGTAATAAGGAACTGGGAAAGAAATTAAATAATCTAACAATGTAACGCCCTGGTGACCAAAGCTCAAAACGCAGACCTATGATCACACATAAATTTTTTAGGAAAGCACAATAAAGGCTGTTTAGGTCTTGGTGAATCGCACAACATCTGAGATTATCCCTGCGGAGCGAGCCATAGCAATCGCGGACAAGCACCGCGCTGATATGGGCCCACGTGTGCCGAATATGACAAAGCTCAGGTCTGCTTTGAAAAAGTGAAAATTTTAGTTGAAGCGCGGGTCTATTTCGATGTTCTTCAGGTAACCTCGTCGCCTGTGATGCACCATTCCATTCCTCCACTTGCCTATGTGCTCTCAGTATTTGCACTCTCACTCACAATGATCTTCATGATATTCGGATTCATGATGTGCCATTATAGAAACAGGTAACGATAAGAAAAATCGACAGGTCATGATCGATTAATCAATCATGATCGATTAATTGATTTTTCAGGTTCAAACGAGAGAAGAAGCTGCGAGAGGATGATGTCGTCATTGCAAACTCCCTAGTCAGGCCACCAATAAGGCCAATGAAGATCTCGCCAGTAATTCCTACACGGTATGTTGCAAATTTCTGCAGTACTTCCAACTCGTTTTGCTCAATTTTACAAAATTTGATACCGTCATGAATTGTAAGCAACAAATGTTATCGATGAAATTTTCAGCACGTTTGCGCCACACATCCCGGCCATCGACGGGGAATACGCTGTACAGGAGGTGAAGATGGTGGTCGGTGGGTCTGATGAGAAGCATCGACGATCGAAGCCCTGGTAGTATGTGTGAAATGACTCACGCTGTCCGATCCCAAATATCCATTACCGGTGCCAAAATTTTCACATTCCTTACTAATAATGAATATCCTCTATAAAGGTAATAATAAAGAATCAAAACTATAATTTGACTCCAACAGACAGTATCCTTCATTAACCTCCTGCACCTCCCATCAGGGTCAACCGTCCGTTGGACAAAGTCCAACGCGACGACGAGAGTAATGCCGAGAGTGAACGTACGCACGGAGACACAGACGGCTCGCGGGTGGCGAGAGTGAATGCCGGCGCGGAGAGCGGTGAACATCGGTCCAACGTCGCTCCAATATCGGTCCAACGTAACGGTTGACCCTGCCTCCCATCTCATCGTGAAATTTCGAAAACGATCATTTCAAAGATGCCTCGTTTTCGGAATTTCGCAGGTTGGAAAACATCACAATTGAGATCGCCTTCCGCGGAACTTTCGTCCTATGTCCAGGTGCGATGTAAACTTTGATGGTGTCGATAAGGCACCATTGAACATCCTTTTTCCTACAAAAGAAAAAGGACGAATGTAGCTATAACAGTAGAAGAAGGTTAGTTTCGTCTTACCTCAGACGAACCACTGCCTGCTGCACTCCCGAAGGCTCCTTAGTGAGGTAGGAGTGACGACAGAAGCACTAGTATCAAGGATATCAAAGAAAAAAGGAAACAATACTAGATGGAAGTAACATTGAAAGTAAAAATTGCACGCAAAAATTAAGCAACTGTAATAGTTTTTATTTCGATCAAGGTTTCGCAAGATCCAAGTGTAAGAATGAATAAGTATACGCGGTTAAATTGGAGCACGACAGGAGTTTATGCACAAATAAGTGGTTATTGGCTACCGTATACCAAAAACATAGAATACTGTATTTACATCAGCAGACAAGTGAGAAACATAAAAAACCTATTGAATAAAATCATTAACCAGTTGAGTAATATTTTTTATATTATCTGACAAAGCAAACTTGTAGCCAATGGACTATTTTTACCAGTTTTGCTTCGCCCGCTATCGCGCGCATCACACGGCAGGCTTTAGCGAAATTGGAGGACCCATGGAATATCAGCATGAGATACTCCATTAACCATCTCACTATTGACTGTGTTAGACCCTCCACAGTTTCACTGAAGCTCATCGAGAATACGCGTGATAACGTCTGAGCTGAACTGGTATATTGATCACAACTGTAAACATCCAGCATTTTTCTTGAATTAAGATAATTTAGCGGTGAATAGGATTTTCAGTCCCCCCCCCCCCCCCCCCCCCCCCCCCCCCCCCCCCCCCCCCCCCCCCCCCCCCCCCCCCCCCCCCCCCCCCCCCCCCCCCCCCCCCAAATTAAAACGAAATATGCCTATTTACATAAGTGAGGAGCTAATGCTTATCATTCATTTACATTCATCATTATTTAGAACCACGAAAGGATTAGCGGTTTAATGAGTTTGGGTTTTCTTAATAGTCAGAAATGAAACTTATCATTTGCTGAAGACTTGTTTTTTAAATTTATGCAGTCGAATTCTATTAAGTAAGCTGGATATATATCGAAATAATGTGCACGTACCTTTGTTTGTACTACTACGACTTACTACAATTTGTAAGTAGGAACGCTCTAGTGTCAACGCTGCGTAACGGAACTAACGACTTTTGCGTTCTGACGCGCCTTATCGGCCCTTATCAATCGTTATCAGTTTCTGGCACCCACCAACAATGTCCCCGTCCCACCCCACATAACACTTGTAAGTATGGTTGCTCTGGTGTCAACGCGAGCCAGGCAACGGAATCGACGACTTTTGCGTTCTAGCGCATCTTATCAGCCATTATCAGTTGCTATCGCTTCCAATCATGTACCACCCAATGTCCCGGGACCGCCCCACATAAGACTTGTAAGTATAGACGCTCTAGTACCAATATGAACGGCAAAACGAAATTGGCGATGCTCGCTTTCTAGCCCCTCTTATCAGCTATTATCAGTCGTTATCAGTTCCTATCACGTACCACTTGTGTCCCATCCCACCCCCTATAACATATGTAAGAACCACTGCGCTATCGTTACTGTGACTCGAGCTATGAATTTCCGTTCAAACATACACACACACACACACACACACACACACACACACACACACACACACACACACACACACACACACCAACACAACACACGCTAGCCGCTTATATATAGCAGGATATGCATTTGATAATGCTAGTTATGATGCACTCTCTACTGTAGCCGTTATTTGCTGAAACTAATATCATATATCACTGACAAGTCTACTTCGCTGGTTCTGAGAACGAGAATATCCGAAGGCCTATCAAATTATCACCTGTATCACCTGTCGTCCCGTTGATCATCGAATTGCTCGAGCGGGCGCCAGCAACGTCTCCATTCGTCCCTGTCGCGTGCAAGAGTTGTCCAGTGGACCCTCCTCGCTCGAGGGACACGATGTCCTTCATTCCTTTCGTTCAGAGTTATCAAATCTTATCGTATAACACATCTTCCACCATTCTGACAGTTGGAACCTATTTGCTACAACTGGTGTCCTCCATTTATAGAACAGCATGTTCAACAAACAATCATCCTTAGAAAGCAGGAATTCATTTTCGTCGCTAGCAGAAATTGTCGCCCCAATGTTCCAGGAGTTACGTCAGAGATTTTAACGGGCCCTCCTACTCTCAAAGCTCGGCTACGGTTATTTGAGCATCACTGAGCCGTTCAGCTGCCGCCTATCGGTTGTGCTCGGTTTGCTGTTAGCATGGCAGCGATACATTTGCAAAGAAACGGTGAGTATAGTAACGTCAAAAACTTGTACCAGAACACTTCACCCCAAACTACATATACTAAAGGAATAGCAAGAATCTGCCAAAGATTCCATATGCATATTTATTTATTTATTTATTAAATACTCATAAGAGTGCCATTGTTGTCTAGCACATGGTCAAGGCAGAAACAGTAAGAATTGAATTAAAAGTATAAGTAATGGTAAAAAGCCAAGCTGAGGAAACCGTCCGAAGCCATTGCCATAACGGCAAACATGATTAATTGGTAGGATTTTATAACATGCATATGCCAGGGCTTTGCAACAGCATAGCAGCCTGAAGTAGATTAATAGGTTCGTATCCACACCAGTTGGCCATGGTGCCCATATATGTGGAATAAATAACGGAACAGGTCGGAACTTCGGCACACGGGTATGCCAACCTCCCACGTGGAACCGACCTGCCGGATACAAGCGTGGTTCGAAGGAACTGATGGTTCAAGCTATAGCAGCACAAAGCGACAGCAGGCACTCTTTACATTACCAAAACGATCCTGCACCCGAAATTTTTCATAATGGAGCCGTGCTTTGTCGTCCAGCTTTTCAAAACTCCTTCGTACAAGCTTATCGACGGCAAGATTTCTTTTTAGTCAAAGCTACACCACCAATAAAGTCAAGAAAGGAGGAATGCTGCGGCAGACATCAGTGAGACTGACTACTTCGAAGACGCAAAACTGATTGCATCATCGGTCATGTCTAAATAGATCTATGAAAACCGCATGATCTTGCTATACTTTTGCTTTAAAACAGCCCAAAAAACCAATACAAATTCCATGTTCCAAGTGGCTCTCATGAAGCGCTAGCAGTTTCGCGAACATTGCCTGGAAAAATAAAGGACTATACTTTACAAAATTACAGAATACCAAACAACTCCTAGGAATCGGAAATTACACGAAAACAGACTCGTTCCCGTTGTTGATGATTTCATTCCCGTTCTTAGTCGCTCTAACTGCGTAAGCATTACGTCTTTGAAACTGTCGCGTTTGCAGCGAGCGTCGCCGGTGGAATCAGAAGGGAAAACACCGTAAATATCTAAATAAACGACGCTGCTCTCACAAACGCCATCGTTCAGGCGACATCATATCAAGGTTGTTTCTACCGTATCCAACGAGAGCGGATTATCAATTTATTGCCCTGTTTGATATCATGTTAACTTGAGAACTATAATATTTGCTACGCACCTATAAGTATCTTGAATACGTAAAACTGCAGAATAGCAGTGAAGTCGGGTTAACCTATGTGCATAATAAATGCGGGTCCGCTGAGCGATTACAAACTTCCTCTGTCCAATTTTTGGCAGAATGGCAGCATACCCTTTAGCGGAGATGCGCTCGCAAGTCCAAATTCACATTTTTCACAAGGTCCTCAAGTCCTGGCGCCTACTCCCATGCTGGTTGTAGTTGTGGCCGAAACAAAAACAACATCACTGGGGCATGAATGAGAGCGCTCAGGGCAGCGATTATCTCGCAACACTTCGAGTTGCCTCCCGGCCGCAGGCAGCCTGTTGCTGGAGCGCCCTTCATCCATTGCGCTTCTCACCTCTTACTCCTCTTATTCCGCGCTCGGTCTCGCACTGCCTTATCTTATCATAGCTGCAGTACGGGAAGGGGGCCAAGCCCTCAACAGCTGCTCTGAGTGTTTTCGACTGGATGTTTTTTCTTCTTTTCGCTGCTGGCCCATTCGCAAGTGCTTCCACGATTTGTGTGTGCAAGAAAGCACTGGGCAATTTTGATCCTTGCGAATACTCTGATTAATTCAATCAGATGAAAGTCGAAGCTTGCTCCGCCCGCATCGCTACACCCGAACGCTTGTTCATATTCAGTGCACATCCTTCATAGGAAGCGTCATATCTCATTACTGGACTATTGAAAGTAAAGAATGTAATATACTCCAATCAAAATCTCTATCAAACAAAAAGCGGCAAATTTTATATAAATGAGGAATTATAGGATGAAAAACGACAGCGACTGAATGAAATGATTAAGACGTTAGCTGAGAAGTGACTGCACTTGCAAATGATCCTCTCAAAAATCGACATCGAATCGATGAAACAACAGTGGAGTTCTGTAATTTCTACTTAATGTTAGTTTTCGCTCCTTATAATAATACGTCAAACAACTAAAATGCTGACCACTAACAGTCAAAAGTACACAATCCAAGTACACGATTCAGCACTCGAAATTTTGTTTCTTATGGAATATTGAGGCTAAAACTTGATTTTCTCCTCTCGGAAAGTACCAGTTCCTCGGACTGATAAAAGCTAAGGAAAGCCGGAGTTGGCAATGTGGTTGTGATGCAGCATCTTACTCATACCGCTCGTAGGATCGGCTCCGCCGTATGATACCTTCAAGACTGGCAATTCGATTTGCCAAGATTTGCTCTGAAGAAAGCAAACAATGGTTTTGGTTTGTATCGACCCACTTCGAATGCCACAGCGATTCTAAATGGAAGCCAGATACATGGCGCATTAGTGAACGCTCCAAACACACTAATAGCTTCATCGTATTCTTCTTTTAAATAAGGAAGTTTTTATTTTCCAGCACGCCTACGCCAGTCTTCGATGTGTCGATGGAGGAGAACCGGAGGCATCGCCTCCCACTGAAATGGGGGAGAAGCTTTTATGACTAGTGCTTTTTTCATTTTCAGCATTTTTATACGCCATGTATTTAAATATCACAGGTATTCTTGCATTGTTTCGTGCAATAAATCATCAAACATATGCTGCAATGTTTCTTGAACAATCGTTTTTCCGTGAACAGTAGTGATACATTTTTGGAATCCTCCAAGGACAGGCCTGCCAAACAAAGATGGAGCGTTTACCAGCCACCCTACACCCATCACAAGTTCACGGCGCAATACTGGATTAGATCAATTTGTGCTCTCCTTCAATAATTTCCTAGTACTCTACGCTGGCAAAATTTTGGTCGATTCAGTAGGAATGTTACTCTTTGAACGCTTCATTTTACACAGTAAAAAAACACTGACAGACAAGATTTACGTGTCCTGCAGAGTATTTCATACAGGTTTTCGCCCAGGTAAACACCGCCACCACCCTGCCGAAGAGATGGACCCACTGTTCCCAGACCAGGGTATACAATTTCCCATTTCAGCCCAGATAGGGCAGTAGGAGCACAGGGCAACACTGGTAAAGGTCGTCAGCAGAACAGTGGTCTGATCAAATCCAGCCCTAGCTGACCAATTAGTCCTTAGTAGAAGCCATATTCCTGGCGCATTAGTCCCTTCTGTCCTTAGAAACGGATAGATTGACGGGAGCTTTCTAGGAGCTGAGGCATTTGTTGGAATATGCATTCTTCGTTCAGGTCGAATACAGATATTGATGCTTTCACTGCAGCGATTAGAGTGAATTTGAGATGCGTGGCGTATTCCTGAAAAGCTGAGTGAAGTCGACGACTGATTTGGCCTGTTCTTGAATGGCTAAGTTCTCCACAGCTTCCCGTCATGCTGAGCGCTTTAATACAAGCTTTCCTTGTCGTCCTTTACTACCGCCCTTTTCATAGCTTCCCACTCACAAGTGCGCTGAGCGGACCACGATTTTCTTTTTTTAGATTCCTTGAAAATCGTATTACACAAAGTCCTCAGTGTCAAATCATTCGCTACTGGATGCGCCACGCCTACTATTTCTGCTGGGAATTGTGGAAGGTTTGGATAGGTTTGGATGTATGGAAGTACTCATATAGTGGCAGAGACGTACCCTGTTCGGCTGTTCCTTGCTTTTTGCCAGAATCTGAAAAGGGTGGAAGAGTCACTGCCCTGTCCACGGGGATTTGATAGCTTCACTACGATTGCGCTTCAGACCCTCAGCTATTTAGAGAAGCAATAGAATGGGATTATGGCGCGAATGGGGTTAAAAAGGGCTTATGTTGGAGCTAGTTGAGTTGGGTTAATCCGGTATTTAATGTGTGATTTGAGCCAGTGAGGTTGCTAACAACACTTTAAACTTACACAAGTGCATAAAGCGCAACCGCTTTGTGTTTACTTCCCTGTGAAATCAGCTGGATAGGGACTGATTACGGTAGCGCAGCGAAATTACAACGCGTTTTCAGTGTCGTTGTCCCCCCCCCAGACCCAGAACCAGTTGTTCCCGCCAGCCCGGTGCACGTCATTTTCTACACGGAGATCAGTGACGTGGGGCACTCATTGCTGGAAAGGATGAACGACGACGGGTCAAGGTGGTAGGCCACGAGAAGGCCACTGGGCTTTCGTCGATGACGCCAACACCGGCTGGTTGACGTCAATGAGCGCCCGTGAGGGTAGTCATCAGGCCATGATAGATGAAACAAGCAATCCTTCTAACTTCTCGTGAATAAATTAGCGCTAACCGTCGGTCGAGTGTCAGATTTTTTTCACCTCCATTTTTCTTGGCATAGTTTCGAAAAGCGAACGAAAAAGGCAATAATAGGTAAGCCAATCAACAGATAATGAGGTTTTCGATCCGTTCTTCTTGAACAGAAGCCACAGATGTTGAATGCGAGGCAAGACTGGTCTAATAACAGGTTTATATCAAGTTATGTACGTCCGACATTTTTTGATGGATCTTCGAATTTTCTATCCTCTCAAGCGACCCCCGTCACTGACGGTGCCAGGCTGTTGAACGGCTTAGCGGGGTTTGTTCCGATTTAAATACCGTAGTTCCAGCCGCAGTTGCATACCTCTTGCGCAGCTTGTCAAGTCGCTCCTTTTCCTGTACTGGGAAGTCTAGGACATTGCGACTAACTATGTCACATGTATATTTTTTATGAGTGCATCTGGTTGCAATCGGTGCTCCCAACAACGGTCTTCACAGCGGGGTGTTTACGTCTCAATCGCAACTGTGCTTCCTTCCCCGCTTAACATCCACATATCCTTCGCCGTAGGCTGTCCAGCTCGAAATCCTAGAACTGTCTAGCCACCCGAAAAGAGACCCGTTTTTTTGGTAAGTATAATTTTTTTAGCTAGCATTGGTAGCACATTTTGATTGCGAATGCATCTGAAAGCATACTGGCAGATATCCACACTGATTCAAGTGGAAATTCCAGTGCCTCTTGTGTAGGCTCAACAGTCCCCCTTAAAATCACAATTATTTCGCATGTCCTAGCTCAAAAAGTGTGCACATAGTTCGTACAAGCCCAAAATCGATTCGCGTGACTCCATTTTTCCTCATTCACGACATACCTGTGTCTACGCCCTCTCATCCGTCGTGCACTCTCGCCTAGCCTCTCTTTTGTGCACCCCAGTGTCTCATCGCCTTCAAGCGCGGCTGCGTTATAACACTATATAGTGCACTCTCCAATATTGAGCGTTTCATGATTTTCTCCTTTGCTCCTCTAACTACCGACCCACTTTGTCATCGCGCTTTCATTTCGCGTGTGCAAGTATGGTGGCCAGTCCGATTGCGGCTGCACCTCTGGATCTGACTATTTCACTGTAATTTGACCTCAGCAAAGGCCACCAATCCTCACATAATAGATAATCACTGTGTCGGCTCGTGCCAACGGTCTCACATGTCTTCTGAATTCCAAATATGTTTTTCTGCCCCACTTCCTCGGTCAGCGTGTCTTGAAAGTTACGCTTTGAAGATGGCTAGGTTTTCGAAATGGTTTCTATGTCAATTTCGGTCGGCTGTTCCTCGACGGTGTCCCCGATCACAATAAGAAGAGAAAGTGGGCGGGGCATCTTCACCTAGACAATTGTGTCTCCGCCCTCCATATCACTGGCGTAACCTTGTGTCAAGTTGTTTTAAGCACATTTTTTGGCTGATTCGGGTACAATTCGTTTTTTCTGCTGGTTTTGACACCTTTTTTGGCCTAGACCCTTATGCGACTGACTGCGGCTATTTCGGCCTTATGCTACTTATTGAACCTATTATTAAGTATTATAGTTATCGTCCTTACAACACATAGCCACTGAACTATTAACAACTTGTAGTATGCCTCTGATGTTTAGAACTTGTTCATTTATTGTACTTACAACTTACGCCCAAAAAATCAATAAATCGATAAGCTTTCAGGTATGACAAGGAGCCGAGTAAATTCGGAAACGCACGAAGACACACAGAGATCGATTTTGAAGAATCGTAGAGCATCAATCGATTTGGCAGCGGTTATTAGAGCCAAGTACCAGTGGAGAGAAGCCCAGAAAGATGGCGACGAACAACTTACCCTGCACCAATACGAGAAGAATCGCCAATCCGGTACGTGACATTATTTATAAGACCCTGATTCAGTATTAGTGATGGTGTACTGTAGGTGGCAGAAATTGCTGTTGTTTGGTTACAGGATGTTTTCATTGAGAAAGAACAGGTTTTTCTCTAGATCAACTTTACACCCATATGTTGACCGTGATTGTCTTTGTCATTGACGCGGCACTATTTGACCGACAGCTGGGACTGGGGTAGGAACAAAGTTGCGGTCGTTATTCGACAATGTAATAGCGAATTTACCCAAAGCAACGAAATTGCCAAACAAGCTATTTCCTACTTTGAGATGCTATCTAGCAAAATGGTACCCATGGAAGCTCGACGCAGTTTCCCATCAGTTTTAGCTCAAAGTCGGGTCAATCTTCACTGAATCCTCTGAAGCACCTTTACCTTCCAATTGAGTGGTCCCAGAGTGAAATGGGAGAATGCAACGGTGGCGAGTGGAGAATGAAGTTTTGAGGTCACTGCCAAGTATAAATTTCCACGGTGGATGTACATGCGCATACTTTGCCGAAAAGCAAAAGAGACTGTCTAAAAGTCCCTCTGGGCGAAAGTATTTGCTCATAACTGCAGATATGAAGAGAAGATTATTAATAATGACGCATTATTTGAGTAAGCACCGAAGCCTACTAGAAACTAACCCAAAAAAGCCGAGCTGGAATGAACGGTGCCCCGGCACGACATTGTACGCACGTTGCTCCGGAAAGCGAAAAGTGAGGTTCTACTCGCTGGGCGACAGTTTTGTTCACCGAACCCAGCATTCTTTGTGAAATGGTAGGATTTTTCAGCAAGTTCCCAAACGCATCACCCCTGTTTTGACGTTATCTAGCTGTCCCTCTTCATATTTCTCTCGCTCCGCTGGACGAAGTGTCTGGAGAACTGGAGCAAGCTTCGCGTCCGAAAGAAACAAAAAAACCCTACACAAATCACCCATAATAGAATTGGAGCGAAAGGTCGGGGCCTATATAAAGTAAAGCCACAGTGGTCCGGATGATTATAGGCAAGGGTATAGGACAAGGAAAAGAGCGAAGACCATCCCAAGCATACGGGAAATTGTGGCGCTTCTACGTATGAAGGTACGATGTCAACAGCATGACGAAGTACTGGGTCTTGCTTCGTATTCACCCAGACCGGCACCGCCCACCATTGACGCTGTTAGAGTATAAGCAGCTGCTTCAGTTGGGTTGATGATGAATTAAACTCCACTCTCATCCCTTGCAAATATCTAGTCTCTGTGTAGGGCACCGGCTCAACCGCAAATAGCCTCATCTTGGAGATGAGCTACAAGTCTAAAACCATCGGAAATAATGAGGGCCCATTTGGGATGTTTTCCTTGGCTTCTTATTCACTGCATTCCTTCGCGCTCAGCTTCCTCTTGTTCCAATTTTGAGCGGCCACATGCTTCTCGGAACTGCCCGCCCATGCCTGCAATTGGTTGACGCCTGGTCTGAAGGCAGCGGTTTGGCGCTCTTTAACTTGTTGGGCATTTCGTGTATACAATCTTATCGCTGTTGCAGTACGTAGCCACCCATATCCTGCAGAACTTTCTCTCGGTAATCATAAAAGGATTGGATTTTCCCTATGGCCAGTCGCCAATTACTCGTACGCTGGCGTTCGTTGATCACTACCGTACTCCTTAACAACTCTTTCCGTTGTTATCAAATGGCCGACCATCGCAATTGCTGATATTTGCCTAGTGCCGGATTTTGGGGTTGTATCTCTCATAGGAAAATTAAACACGAGTTTGGCCAGCAACACTAATAACCTCATTCACCGGGTACGATAGCTAAGAGCAATAATTGCAAAATCAAGTTTCTCGTCCACATTAAACAATTACATCAGTTCAACCAGAGTAAGCGCCGAGGCAGTCTTTGAAAATTTTTTACTATGGTTTTTGATGAATATGTGTTTTTCAGATCACCACCTACGCCCTCACGCGGGTACGGTAGCGATGATTGAGCGGCAAATGTCCAAATCACAAGTGCCTACGACGGTAATGCCAACACCGACATCAACGGAGAGAAGTAAGCAAAGAAAAACAGAATCCTTTTCCGTAAATTAGCCTGTTAACAAGCCTTACAAACCATAACATTAGTAAAATTAGTTCCCGGAGAACGAAAAGGAATTCTGCCTAAGAAAAATCAATAATCGATTTCTTCAGAATTCACGGATTCTTTCTACTGGATGTCCCATCTGCACAAGAAAATTGGTCTCAGTCATATCATTCTCCTGATAATTTTGGCCGCTTACTCAGCTCTCGAAGGCGGTCGTTTCTAACTACCTGGCCGCCTAAGAACGAGTGCTAAGAAAACAACGAATTGGTAAGATACTGAAACATTTCGATTTGTAGGGGGGGGGCCGGGAGGTGATGGGAGCTCACAATTTGGTTAACCTACCAGCAGCTTTTTCATAGAATGTTCTGGAAGCAAGTTCCGCACACGATTCTGCACAAAACTTGCACTTGTAATGCCAGAACACGATCAAATTGAGACTAGTTTCAGACAAAAACGCTCGCATCGAGAGAACTAAATTTAGCGTCGCAAAATAAGGACCCGGGCAGCGCCTCAAAACATCATCTCAAGATCAACATTATTAGTGAATTTAGTAGGTGTTGGTGGCTGGGTAAGTAGGCGCGGCTTATCTAAAGCGAAGTCCTAGGGTCAAATCAAGCGTTGTTTCATCTCCTTTGGCTATTAACAAAGCTCTAAAAGTTCTCTTTGTGGTTGGACATTGCTATACGAAGTTATTACGTACTTTGTGGTTGGAATTGGTATCAAACTTGCTCACCAAAATAACAAAAAGATCGATCTCTACATTGGCTGCCCCCCCCCCCTCCTCCACAAATCAGAGGCAGAGATTGCAGAAGGAATTTAGCGTGTTGCATACCAGAAAGCTTTGGTCTTAAGCTAAAAAAAAAGCTCGGCGCAGAATATTGTACCTATGTTGTGCACTGATTCTGATGAATCGCATCGATCAATATATCGATTTTTCATCCTTCTCTATTCCTTTCAACGTGACATAGCGTGACTCTTCAGGTGATTGCTGCACGCAAAGAGATACTGGATAATCGGATCGAACAACTTGCGGAATATCTCACAGATATGGCGGAGAATAAAACTGTCGAAGAGTTAGCCTTGGAAGTCAAGGTAAAATTTAGTACGATTCTTAGCATCGTGCTCTGCTCAGAAGGACGGCACCTTTACTAGCAAGCAGGACGGCTGAGGGTTAAAGTTACATATGGATTTCCAGCCAGTTTTCAGGGTCCCAGCCAAAAACTAATCAGGAGCTAACGTTGTCCGCTCTCCCTTGGATCCGCGTTTTTTCGTCTCTTATTCTTTGCTCTCTAGTTGGCACTCATTTATCTTTTACCTCGGTGCCTGCCCTTGAACTCCTACGCAGATTGGGAGAAAAAGAGTCCTTACTGTCAGTGTTTCCGGTGCTTCCTTTTCTTTTTTCCCGGCGGTTTCCACTTCGCACTCCCACTTTCATTATTGAACTCACTTTCCACGCCAACTTCATCGTGGGGTATGCTTCGAATGAGAAGGAAAGGTTCGTTCATAAATGTAAGTGTTAGAAGGACTCGATCGAGGCCAATCTCGGATCCATCTTCATCTTCTAGTGCTGAAGCGCGGTGTAGCCTTTACCTTGCCTTTTTAGTGTGGCGATCTTAGCCAGTGAGAACTGAGATGCGCCGCTATTTGCTAATGTCTCCAGCTTTACTCCTTACCCCTAAGTACCCGGTAATACTATCTTTTCAGGCAGCATACATTGACATGCTGAACACAGAAGGCAGCTATAAATGGTCTACGTTCGATCGATCATCTGATCCGGAGAACAACTACAAATGGACGTATGCAAGCAGCTTTTTCTTCGCGATGAACGTCTACACAACAACTGGTTACGGTAAGCAATTTGAACTGGTTACGGTATACGGTAAGCAATTTGTGGGAGTCGACGGACAAAATCAGGCTCCATGGAAGAGCACGGTCTGCCCTTAGATTCTTTAGGGTACACTCTAGCTTCTTTAGCCTGTGGAAGAATTGTAACGTTAAATTCCGTGGAATCATAGATATCTTTGTGCTAGGCATCTGAGCTTTCAATTTGGCCTTGACACACAACAACAACAATCAACAACAAAATCAAACAAAACAACAAAAATACGACTTTTAGCGGATTCAACTCGCTCCTGAGACCGTGCCGGCCAGTGGTTTGTCATAATCTATGGTTTCATATTCGTCGTGCCGGTCACGCTGGTGGTGGTCCGTGACCTCGGCCAATGGCTACTCTTGGTTATTACGAGATTTTATGCCAAGATGCTATTGAAATACAGGTATGTACTGGCAGGTTAACCTTTTGCAGAAGCGAAGACTCCATGAGGCGGGTTTTCTATGAAATCGGAGTGTGGTAGAGAATATGTGAGAACAAAACGGTTGTTTCAGTTGCCCCTAGCGAGCGTAAAAAAAAGCGATAAAAGCAATAAAACAGCATTTATATTTTTTGTGGGATACGGTAGGGCGAGCTTTCCGATCTTTCTGCGGAGATCGTTTCTGTGAAATGGGCAGGTATTCGTTGTCTGCAGACCTCAAGGCATTTTATCGGGTTCGTTGTGAGATGGGGGGGGGGGGCTGTGAGTACGGGTGGAAGCTTTAAGCGTCCTTCGAATCCGTTGAAACTTACTCACTCAAAGCGACGACACCGGCAATTCGCTAGGATTGCCAAGAGAAAGCCCGTGATCCGAAATGTTCTAACTTGCTCGGTTTGACGTGGAAATTGCCTATAAAGGTCAGAAGCAGGGTGTACTAGTTTTCGAAGAAATTTTCCTCATTATGACTCCCCTGCTCCAGCTTTGCTGTGGTTGGTGCTTCAGGAGTGACGATTGGCTCTCAGCGTACCAAGGGAGCATGCATCCATATCCCATCCCCACACTGTCTCGGCAGGTCGGGTGCATACGGTGCCGGCTTGAAGGACAGGGTGGAATTGTATTCTACAACCACTAGGAGAGTTGAACCATTTCTTGGCACCGCTACTTCGTTCCCCATCCATCCTCACTCTTCCCACCTACATAATATCCTTCTCTCCTCCCATCAGGCGAATACGACCCTCTGTCGAGAATCCCGGACCGTGGCTCACGGCAGAAACGAGGAAATGCTCTGTAGGGGTCAACTCACAACCTTCTTAAGCGGTAAAAAATGGTACTGGTGGTTTTTATGTAGAATCCGGTCTTCCCTCTTTTCTTGTCATTTTATCGTTCAACTTTTTCCTGTCCCCTCAAGAGTCCTCTTTTTACAGACGCTCCACTGGAAGAAAGTCGGACAATACTAACGAAGTGATACGATTGCCAATATTTATCAGTTGCCTTATAATGATCGGTGAGCCCCTTCTCATTTTACTCTATAAGAAATACGCTTTCATCAGTTACTACGCAAAAAATTTCTCTACTCGACCGATCTGGTCAGAGACACAGAAAAACCATTGGAATCTGCTCATCTAATTCTAACCAAAAAGAATAAGCGGACTAATAACCGCTGATCTTTCTGCAGGTTTCATCGGTTTCTGTACGGTGTTTGTCTACTATTTGGACGCGTTTTTGGGACTCTCCTGGCACCGGGCAATTTTTTTGTTGACTGGTTTCATTCGCTCTACTTCTCCTACATGTCATTCACAACCATTGGTCTCGGTGATGTCATGCCTAACAATGCCACGGTAGGTATTCTACGAGATTTGGAAAGCTGCACGTCAACTTTTATCCCAAAAATAGGCAATTTATTGAATCTCAGGGTCGCTACTCCTATGAAGCGATCGATATAAGTAAGAGGATACGGGATGATTTATTGAAAACTCCATAAGAGCAACTATTCCCAAATTGTAGTTGAGGCTAAACGGCTCTCAACCTTAGCCTATAGAAGCAGAGTAGGCGCTATCGCAAGATACAGGGGCATGTGGTATCAATTATTTAGAACCGCGTTAACATCTCCTTTTTTTTTTGGTATATAGATTAAGGCCCGCAGGCAGGGAAAGAATTGCTCGAAAGTGAGTGAGCCATTTTCTTTCTCCCAGAATTCTTCCCCTTGTAGGATTGGTCCTAAAGGTGCCCCTGTACATTGCGATAGGCCGATGTCAGACTTTGCGAATCGCGCGATTCGCTAGCGTCTGCGGTCGCGTCGCGGCCAGTGAATCACTCAATTGGCTGGTACCGCAACGCGACCGCGGACGCTAGCGAATCGCGCGAATCGCTAGTAGCGAATCGCGCGATTCGCAAAGTCTGACATCGGCCTATAGGGACCAGATCACAGTGGAGTGCCACCCGCGAAAACAACATTTTGAACGGTCGCTACTTTGTTTATAAAAGCAACAATCTTTCCTTCAGTTCGCTCCAATCGTCTCGATTTTGTTTTTCCTCGGACTGCCGATCATGAAGGTTGTCAACAGAATGACTTACCTAACGGTAGAGAATGGAGCATTTGGTGAGAGAAACATTTCGATTTTCAAGCTTACTATATCCTCCTATTTTCATCGAACAAACAGGACAGTGGGGCTTGTGAAGTATGTACTTCTTTCTTGCAGGACTGCTGACCGTTATGGAGAACAGAATCGACAATTACTGGGAGCAGAAGCAGTCACCAAGAACTGGGGTGAGTTCTGCACTTTCTACTTTTTCGTGTGGCATAGTTTTGAGAATGCAGCGCTCTCCAACTATTTGGGATCAATAATGGGCTTTCGCCACCAAAAACGCCACCATTGCACCGTTAAGTATGGGTGGGGCCCGATGCACCGCCGCGCTCTTGTGAATGGTCGGCTCCATCTTCATAATGCAGTAAAAAAAAGACCAGCCCACTAATGGGGAGGGGGCCGGTGCAGGGCGCCTAAACGGCCGACAACGTTCCAAAGAATCCAAAGAAATTTTGGTTGCTCTGTCTATACCTACACCTGTTTCACAATGGGGGGGCAAGTACGTAATTATGGAGGGGTGCCAAAGTTTTGTGGTATATAATGCAGGATAACGTCCTGAAGTGGAATTTATTTCTTTTTTGATTGTTTAAAATTGTGTTTTTTGCGCTCAACACCACGACTCATCGTCGATCATAGAAACTTAGTACGACTACTCGAATTCGACAAATCACGAAACTCAGGAACATCGTGCTATCGAAGCCTACATAGTCACAAGAAGGTTCCTCACAGCACGTCATATTGGTACACAGTATCGTCCAGCTGGGCACTGGAGCGCGCAAGTAACCAAGGGCACTTGGTGCAAGCGCGTCCTGGGGGCAGCGGCTCAGCCCTTTCTGACTAATGGAACTTACATATAAGTGGCATAATAAAAAAAACATCACTTATTCATCGTTATGCCTGCCCTCAGGTACCGGAGATCCTTAATGTTTTGAAGAGCACTTCCCTACAGCTTGAAACGGATAGAAATTCTGAAACACTCCTGATGTTCTCTCCTCGTCCACTACGAATTTGTCATAATGAGTTCGTTGTTCTAGGACCGAAACTGCTGCATCCGAAGAAAGACTTAAAGGCAAAGGAATGGATACGAACAATGAAGAGGTGGAGTGATATAAAATTAATTGAAATTGTTATGCAACACCAAATCAAATTGCTTATTTGAAGACTCCCCGGGTCCAGTAAGAGATGGGTTATGGTCTACATCCGTAGCGCCATGCAGAAAGCTTGTAACTTCAAGGGATTTCACTGCTTAATGCAAAAATCCATTAAGCATTTCTCAGGGAACCCTCAAGAAAGAGCTCTAAAGCAGGAGATCTTTTCAATAACTTCGGCTGACGTTAGCTTGGGTTTGCCAAGTACAGGAGAAAGGCATGACTCCCACATGATGATACATAGGAAAAGAGAAGTATTTTTTCCGAAATGTTAACCCTATTTAAACCAGTACTCATGAAGTCGCCCCCACCCCCGCCCCTTGAAAGCCTCATTCAACAAAAACATCATAAGCATTATTCTGACAGAGTGTATACCCAGAACTTCTGTATCCTTTTCAGATACCCGCTGATGGTGAATAACATCGCTCGTTGTGCTTTGAAAGCGAATCGCGACGTTACGGTGGCAGCTTCGGCAAGGTTAACCTACGAGCTGTCGACTTGTTGCCGTCGAATGAGCAGGACACTGTTCGCTCCAGAAGATCAAATCGTTAACTGTTTCTCAGTAACTATAGGAACCAGTATATGATCTGTATTATTGAAGGGCCAGCCTAACGTTATTGCCTGCGTCGGATGAGGGGGGAGGTGAATACGCAGAGAAACTGCGGTCATTCCTCTCAATGTCAAAAATCAGGAAAACTTTTTCATCTCTTTTTCTGGAAAACGACAAAAAATCGTGAGCTGAGCCGTAATCATCTAACATTAACTTCACTCCCTTTATTGCGTGAGGGTTTTAATGGCTCTGCATTTCTAAACAGAGTAGCTCATGTATCGAGCCTGAAAGTCTCATCTTCCTGTGATGCTAAGTCCTAATCTCGCTTCTACATGCAGCTTCCACTGTGCTGGGGCTTTTCCGAGGTTTCCCAAGAACATTTCATGTGTTGTTCCTATCGTTGTTTACATCATGTTTTTCAGCACTGAACCTTTGCTCAATGCTCAACTGTTCCATTTGTCACAACGGGTTTTCAATAAACTTTCAAAAATCATATTTTTGAACAAGTTCCTGTAGAAGTGGTAAAAAGAATAGCCATAGAAGCCAGAACAAATAAAATACACAGCTATTCCGTCCCACCGCTTAAGGCCGAACTTGTGAGCACTACTTCACGATTGAACGATTGCTCGAACGGATCTCAAACCTGGATATCAATGTACCTAGCCACGCCCTCAATTGACAGTCACGCATTCCAACAGACCTTCGAAAGCGTGGCGCATGCCAAATTAGACCACCAATGGATTTCAAATGTCTTATATGTCCAAACACATAGCTTCATAGTAAATATTACGTGAGCGAGGTAAGCAGTTTGTGGGTGCGCTGTTACATCCACACGAAATCCGCGCGGATGGGCAACCAATCAATCCTACTATATATATGCGGCTAGATCTGTGGGGAGTGATCGGAATTGATAGCTACTGATTAGAGCTGATAACGGACGTCGGAAAGCTCATATCACCAATTTCGCTACGCCGTTCGCGTTGACAGTGGAGAGTTTCCACTCATAAGTGTAATGTGCTGTGTGACGGGGACCCGAATAGAGAGCGAAGAATGGTGATAGCAAGTGATAAGAGATGACAACGTGCGCCGGAATGCAAAGGCCACCAGTTTTGTTGCTCTCCTCGCATTGGCAGTAACATGTTTGAACCCATTCATATTATGTGGGATGAGGCGGGGACCATGAGGGTGGGTGAAAGAAAGTGGTGGCAAGTGATAAGAACTGATAAGGGGCGTCAGAGTGTGAACACTATCGGCCTTCGCAGTGACAGTAGAATCTTGGCTCTTACATATGGTACGGAGAATCTTACGGGAACACGAATGGTGAGTGATCAAAAGTGATAACAATCGATAACGGCTGATAACGAAGTCCAGAATTTGAGTACTATCAAATTCGTTGTAGTCTTCGTGGTGACAGTAAAACCTTCGCTTCTACATGTTTCATAGGGGGTTGGACGGGGACAACGGTGCTATCGGTATGAACGGTAACAAATGACAAGGAATGATAAGGGGCGTCTGAATGCAAACACTACAACTTTGTTGCAATTAACACTGCCAAGCGATCATAGTGGCGAGGCCAAGCCAGGTTCTTACACGTTCATTTCTAACCTTTCACCAAACGGTGCAAAGGAATTGAAACGCTCAACTATCTGGACCTGGACCAATGACAAGTTATCATATGAGCTAGGTTAGTTGCAGATTGAATGGTCATATCTCACTCTTTCAACGATACTCACATTCTAATTCAATTATTACCTCTACAGACCGCCAAATCATCCAAACTCGATATTAATGCTGAATGTTTACGAAGTCGTGATAAGCCATTTTCATTCCGCATGCTACGCGTGCACTACGCGATAGTCTTCAGCGGAATGGACAGCCTTTGCATTTTATCAGGAGCATTTTTCAAAGCAGCTCAATAATATTTCCCAGCCATGTGGCCCAACATTCTACAGGTTGTCAGCTTCACTGAAGCCCACCAAATGATGCGCGCGGATGCGTGCGGAGCTAAACTGGTTTCTCTTTAGAAACCAATAAGTGTTGAACATTTTCTTGTTACTTACGATTCCGACTATCACGAATCTGCTCTGACAGGAATGGCATAGTTGGCCGCACATTTGTGGCTCTTACGGCTGACTATGATTGACTATATTCTTCATGACCGTGGATTCCAAAATAATCACTAGCCGACCACATAACCTTTCTGCTCTCGCATACATTCAGAGAACCGCGGGTGGGACAAACAATTGATAGGCGCTAACACCATGCATCACTTGCTATAAATCTTGCACATGAGTGATAGGGGGAACGCAGTGACGAAAAAAGGAAAGTCGAAAACGCTAAAAAGTCAAGGGCTTGTGATATTGTAAAAAGGCAATGAGAGACTAAGCGGAAGGAGGGAGGGCAGGCATGACCGCCCATAAATGGATTAGAAGGGTGCGCAGACACTAGAAAAAGCAAGGAGAAAAAAATTTGCCGAATCGAAGTGTTCATTGGTAAGGCGTGCCGCCCTGATTGTGCATTTAGGGCAAACAGGGTGCAACAGCTAACCTTCCCAGAAACTCAGCATACATTATACGAAGTTATGCACCTCCAAGCTACCAAAAAACTGCGGATTCTGTGAACTTTTAACCCATTTTCCAAGCTCAAATAATTCCAGGGTTCTGCTCATGTCTTGACCTAAATGGAACGATTTTTCCTCGATGTTCTTTCTACAAAGCTCAACGAGATGTGCACCGTAGCCAGGGCAACAATGACGAGGACACACCGAGTTTACTCGAAGGAGCTGTTACCGAGTCCCCCTAGACTTTGAAAAAAATTGTAGATCAAAAAGTACAACCCCAGAAAAGTTAATGGCAATCTAATCCCAAGATCTCTTTCCAGCCGGTTAGGCATGAGTAGACCGATTAAACTTTTTTTTAAACGAACACAATAGTGGGAAAAGCTTTTATCGTGCACACTCTGCACTATTGTTCCATATTTCAAATAATGTCTATTGCACATAGAAGTAAGGCAGTGTCAGTTATTTTATCCATTGAACCTCCGCATTTCAACATCGTCGCATGAGCTCGAACTGAAATTAAGAACCGTAAGAACTTCTCTGCGATGAAAGCACTGCAGGAAAGACAGCTAAAATTGGGAAAAGATACGGTGTTGTTTGATAAACATTTGTGCCTCCGGTTCCCTTTTTACAACGGGTTTTAGGGTCCTAGTCCGTATTTTATCCTCCCAAACAGCCCATTGCCATCAATTGAGCCCGAAGGGCATCATCTTGGCCATTCCGAGAGGCTTACCAGGAAGGTCTTTCAGGGCGTGACGAGCTTTTTGAAAACGGTCTTTTGCATGATATAGGGGCAGATGCGGGAACCACAGAACCATGTTTAATTTTTCCTGAACGGCCCTCTGAATACCAGAAAAGGGGGTCCCTAGTTCGATTCCTCTTGGTGACAAATTTTTGCATTTCGAGTTGACGTTCCAAAATTCGCGCAAAATGGAGTTCTGATTGTTCTGGTTGGTTCTAACTCCATTTTGCGCGAATTTTGGCACGTCAACTCGAAATGCAAAAATTTGTTACCACGAGGAATCGAACTAGGGACCCCTTTTCTGGTATTCAGAGGGCCGTTCAGGAAAAATTGAACATGGTTCTGTGGTTCCCGCATCTGCCCCTATATCATGCAAAAGACCGTTTTCAAAAAGCTCGTCACGCCCTGAAAGACCTTCCTGGTTAAGGGATCTACCCACAAATCGTGCGTTTTTGTAGGT